TTTTGCCAGCTGAGGCAAGGAGCATAACTGCCTTTAAAAGCCATTCTTAGAGATTAAATGGTGCTGCCTTAATAGAAAAATTCAAATTCACTAAGTAAATAGGTTACGTATTCAGGTGAATGCATAAATCTTCTTGAAGGATATCTTCTCTAGGAATAAAGATAATTGCAAAGCTGAATACATCTTCTTATGCAAGGCACTCAAAACATAATTTCATTGCTTAATATCTGTCTCTAAGACTGCGATTATACTGAAATGAGAAGATAGAGGTTCAAAGGTTAAGATCTAGCTCTATATTTCATGGAAATGTAGCGGGTGCTAATTACGTGAAGATTTTAGTACCTTCTTGGAAACAGAATTATCGGCTTTTTGGGGCTTTAAAGCAGATCAAATTGCTATTAGATGCTGCAGGGGGGGGCTTAAAAAGTTACTCGCTATCACCTTGTCAAACATTGTGTGACAGGATCGTCTCATCAGAATACCATATCAAAAGAACCGACGTTTTCTTAAAGCGGAATCAAATTTTGGTTCATTTTTCACAGTTCATATTCTTTAAAGAACAGCACTTGATTGAATCTGCACATAAAACCAATAATTTGAATACTATTAACACCGGAACAAACTGGTGGTAATTCTTTTAGTGTTAATAAAATCTAATAGGTTTTTTCCGGTAAAAATATGATCTTTGAAGATCAAAGATTGAAAGGAATAATGACTAAACGTCAACCATGAAATTCCAAAATGGAAGCTGTCCATGTCTTTGTATCACAAGATGTCATAACAAGTGCACGCTGCTCTAATAATAAGAAAAAAATGTGGAATCAAAGGTAGATTGGCTGATTAGGCTTTCACACAATTTCACATCAAACATCAAGATGATTTTGTAGCCAAAAAGTCAGTGCTGTGTAAAAGGCGATAAAACATTTCTAAGAAGGCAATTCATCAAAAAGGTTGTGAATTATTTCATCAGACAATTTGTTTTTGTATCAACTTTCTATCATTTCATCAGACCAAAGTCCGAATCTTTTTATCCAAGGCCACGTTTAGCAACTTCAAATTAGCTGCATTCATTAAATTGATGGCTTGTTAAGAGCGTGAATATGCAAATTCAATAATGATCAGTGAGTGTAAAACCAATAATGGTTGCAAACTTAGCTTAAATTTTCCAGAATGAGTTAGCTGCTAATGCGCAAGAAAACCGCATAGAATGCATGCAAGACAGATCGAGCAGAGAACTTTGTACCTCTTTCACCAAGTACAACACATCTATCCATGGTTCTGAACATAATGCTTAAACTAAAGGGAATATATTGACTGTTAAGGATCTTTTAAGTCTTGCAATGTATCTCATATTTGCCTGTTCTAGTAACTTGGACACTGGTTTTCTAGTTCCTTCATCAGTTTGAATATCAACTAGGTGCTTAAGGATGAGATGTCAAAACTTGTTTAACTTTTCAGCATTCAATTGCGATTGTAATGACTTTACCAACTGTCAAATTCAAGAATTGCTAATAGCTGTTATTATTTTGTCAAATTCTGTTATTTACTGTTTCGATTTCATGATAAAATAAAAATCAAACCATCTTGTTTAATCACCATATTCCATTCAAAATACCTTATTTACTTCTTGCGTATACGAATAGTCTTTGTTTAGCTTAATTTAATTAGAATTCCCACTAGCCTTCTTTTTTCGTATCGGCAATTGGAGATGAGAGATAAAGATAGGCATGTCTGCCATTATTGATACAGTACTTTATATGCAATAAGAAAAGGGATAGAAAAGTAGAATTTTGCTCAAATTATGCAAGAAACCTAAAAAACTGTTGAACAATAACTTGATTGTAATCTTAGAAACGAAAGGCAATGGCAACAAAAGAAAAGATGTTTATTTTAATTTGTATGCCATGTTTTGATGACAAATTTTTGAGATTATCACTGGGTATTAGTTAAGACAGGATATTTTGGCTGATAAATATAGTAAAAATAATCGACGGCTTCAGGAGAAAATGATATTTTTAGTTATACAGCACGCGAAGCACCTGAGAAATCCAACTGAAGACCCAAACAGAAGATAAGACTTTGTTTGTTTGAGCTCTCTTGAGCTAAATCGCTATCAGCACGATTAGAGAGGTAGTTTCAACGAATAATCGGTAAAGCTAATTGAACCTGAAAATATGTGGTTGCTCTTTAATGAGAAAATAAAGACTTAATTGGCAATTTGTTATAACAAGACGTCAGTTTTATTGGGAGAGCACCCCAGTAATCCACCCATTTGGGCAGAACTGGTTGGACCCGGTCAGACCTTACCAGCCTCAACAGTATTCGCGGTTCATCGTGTGGTTCCATTCCACAGAAGATCGTACGGGGAAATTGCCTCAATCATTACAAGGCTTAATGTATTTTGTTTATTAGTTACTTTTTTGGCTAGCATGATGTCAAAGAGGAAACTGCAAATAAAATTTCGCGAAAGAAGCTAATTGGTCATTTCCAAATTATCGTCCTTCTTTGAACGTCTAAACTTCTTCTTATCAATTTCCATAAAGCTGGTTAGTCTGTAACATCACGAGAAAAAAGAACATTGTCGAAGATTTTACTTGACTACTGACTAATGACTAATTGAAGTAGACGTCATGCGTTAAACAAGTTCCTATGGACACTCTTTGAAAGAAGAATGTCCAATTTATTCTTTCATATGTACTGTAAAGTTTGCTAAACTGATGAACAACTCTGAATCCAGTTTTGATAACAAATATTTTTGTGTTAATTGCAAACTCTATTGTTCATTTATTTATCTTAGGTTCAAAAAGAATGACACCATTAAAAGAAAACTTTGTAAGGCAATCAGTGTAACCATCTAGTATAGACTCGAAGTTATTTAATGTTGGTCAACTTTCCTTGCTTGAGACAGCAAAAGTCTGGTCGAATTGGGTCAAGAAATAATCCAATATGTAATTACATTTATGAAAACCAGCTGGGTCACAAAAGTACAAAAACATCCTTGATATCCACTAACTCTATTACTGGTTTTTCCAGAATTGTTAATGGTTTGTAAGCTTGAGGAAGCAGATATTTGGACCCAGGAAAAGCTTTCCACGTTGTTGAAAGTCTACCTAACCAGAGTAGAATACACTGAATAAGATCATGTAAATGATTTCTAAAAATGACGTTGTAAATGGGTCTTGGGGCATAAACTCGTTGGCCAGCTCTCCCCTGAGTTCTTTACCATTTTCAGAAGAGTCAGAACAGGGGTATGGCAAACTTTTTTAGAGAAATTGAGCACCGTTTATAATTAATCGAACATAGGCATTTTGTGAAGGAGGAAGGAAGCAAAATGCAAATTACTTATTGCTTGCATTGAAAAAGTCTTTAAAACCAAAAATTTAGCATGTCGGCTTTCAATACCAAGGCACATACCACGCGATGACTGAAGAATTAAACAGTTATTTAATAGATGATAATACTATTTCATTAAGGAGTCTGCTTTTTTGCCAAATGTCAGTTCATATTTCACAAATCTAATGTCTTAGAATGCACACATAAAAAGCTTATTCCAAAACAATTAAGGAACTATCTATGCTTTCATAACTAAGACAGTTGATATTGGAATTAATACGAGTCAAAATCAGGTTACCAAAACGCAACAACAGGTATATAGATGTCGACCCAAAGAAATTGAGAGGCTTCGACATCAAATTAGCCTTCTTAGCCCTAGCAGCAAAGGTGCTGTTGGTATGGGTTGATTAATTCACCCTAATCCAATGTAAAATTTAACATGTAAGCATTAGTGAAAGCTTGTAGCTGGTGTTGATTTTATTCTGTTCACAAAGATACATTTCGTTAGGAAACGTATTAGGAAAACTTGCATCGTATCGTTTTCAATGGTATGGTTTGTCTAAATTTATCTTGAAGGGCAGCAAAATTATAAGGTCAATTTTCTTTTGTCTCCTTTCTTTACAATCATAATCAACAATATCTATTTCAATGCTAGTATGCAAAAGTTAACATTAGTAGGTTATCAATATAGGCAGTCCTCTTTTCTCAAATGTTAACCAGGTTTTTTTCTGCTTTACAAAATTTTCTGATTTAAACAAATGCATTTTGCTGTTTTACGATATTTCTCGCATTTGCGTTAAAGTATCATTTGTCAAAAGAAAATAATACTTTTCAAATACTAAAGTAGACATAAGAACCTGGTTTCACATAGATTTAATGTTAGCAAGGAAAATTTGTTATAATGAAAATACTTGAAGCAGAAAATGAAGTTTCCTTTTTGGCTGTCATAAGCTTAAATAGTTTCCCCTCTGGATTGAATACAGGCAGCCCGGAGTTTCAAGCCTTAATAAGGTACTCATATCGTTGACAAAACGGAGGCAGCTTTGTTTGCATCGGATGAAATTAAGAAGAGGATACCTTTTGCATACATAGTGATATTACTAATGATCATGATAAGCGTGAAATTCTGAGTAGGAGCTTTGAATCATCGTATTCTATGCATTAAGACATTCCACAGAAATGCTACCAGAAAAATGATCTTAACAATTCAAGTTTTGAAAAGAAGGTCATTTTTGAGAACAATAGCAAATAGATTTTTTGTTATGTTGATATTAAACTGGATATTCACTTAAAGGGACTTGTCCCGACGCATTTCGCTGGTCATTTAATTTTCCCATTGGTGGGACTTCACAATATAACTATTGTTACGTATCCAATCAGCTCATTCCCAATGTCTTCTCGATCATATTGTATACTCTGCACGGTTGACTGACAGGACATAGTGCCTTTAAATTGGTTAGTTTCGACTTTACTTGAAACCAAGCAGCCTTTAGCAGACCATTTTAGGATTTGAAGTTTGAGGAGGATCCTACATGGCAAATATGATCATTGGTGTGATGTTAATGGTTCTCATCATTCAAAAATGATCTCCAGATATGTTGAAACTGAACATAAGAAATTATATTTGATGATATAAAACGAGAGACATGCAGAGAAAGTCACAGCAGTGTCCCGAAGGATTTGTGATAATTGATAAAATTTATGATTTTTAATCACTTTAAAAGGCTTAATTTCACATTTTTGTTATAGCTCATATGAAATTTTTCAGTATTAGATTACAAAAGGTTCTCGTCTTCGCATATGACAGCACCCTCCTTCTCCTGCATTTTGGGCTCAAGGACCACGTGCTCTGCCAAGCGTCTGTTTCTTGCTTTGTGTATTTTAACTGCTGCTACAGCGACAAGAGCAACAACAACAGCAAGCCCAGCTACTAGGCCTGCTATTGTAAACGGAAACTTCTGAGAAGCAGATCCTGCGAAAAAGGCAAAATCGTATTGGAGACATCATAAAATATTTTCGACTCTGACAGAAAAACTGCAATAAAGGCCAGAAGATTAGGAGGATACCGTATCAATAGTGGCTTTTGAGATTTGCTTAGCATTTGATGTGTTCTTATTATTGCATACAAAGGTCCATAATTGTCCAAAGATAGGATCTTGAGATTTTTAATGCGCTGTACAATGTCTATTAGCTACGAATTCTTTATTGGGTAGCAATTGATCCGGTATGTTTTTCGTCGGAGTATCATTTAAACGAGGTTAATACATTACACCGTAGACTTCTTATACCGAATGTAGGTCCAATGCCTTTCTAGAAGGATTTTATGAAGAAAGATTAGCAAATGAGTGAGGACTAAGGCAGGAAAGTTAAGACTAATTTGGAATAGAATGCATATCTTTCATACGACGTACCGCTGTCTCTTCGGCGCCTCAATGGGCCTAGGTCCAAGAGTTTGTATTCAGAGTGAGACTTCATCAACTTATTGGAGGACAGATCTCTTTTGAATCTGTTTACATTGTTTCCTTGGCAACCTCGTGCACACTGGTCATCACTGGCAGATTTTCGACACATGAAAACGATGCAATGGACATATACCTCTGTCACTTCTTTGATGAAACTAAAAGCTTGCATACTGAAACGCTGCTTCTTGGATCCTGCTTTTTGAAATTTTACATTTGATTCCAAAGGGCATCTAAAATGCAAACAATTAGTTTACTGAATAGGGTATTAAAAAGATGGAGGATTTTGTTGCATAATTGACATAAATTCATTGTCACCTAAAGCTAGATAGCACGATCTGATACTCAGGGTAGATTGTTGAACAAATTCTAAGGCTATCTAAGCGAGTTTCGAATCACAAATTTGAAGCTAAGAGACACAAGCTGTAGATGTTGAAAATCTGGCACAAATTAATTATAAAGCAGTTTTTGCAAAGCATTCAGTCGTACCATTGCCCCATGAAGTTGAATTGCCGTTCTGTATAAAGATTAATTTCCTTAATTTTCAAGTAATTAAAGAAAGATGTATAGTAAGAGGCTATAACATAGCAGTGCCTGTTGAAGATTAGAAGTGCTGCGTGTAAAACACCCTTAAATAACATTACATGTTAATCAAGAACGGCATTAGCACAAGAAAATAGGTGCGATGTGTAGTTATAAAGGATGTTAACATTAGAAACTTGATTCCTTGTGTGTCACACAGAATTTTAACACGCATCCATATGACGTTAACTTTCGCAATTGTTTAAGAGCGGCTTGCAGCATGATATCAATCTTCTACCTTAAGCAGAGTTGTCACAAAAGCCTGTGCTAAAGATATAAGCGTAATTCCAAGATATCTTTATCAACATTTGGCAGAAATTCGATCACCTGTCTTCAATAAAAACATATTTAGTTGGGTCTTTCTTGTAGAGCATTGACGGTGTAGCAAAGCACTGGTCAATTAGTATCACCAAATCGTCATCATTAGATGTTGAGTTCACTTCAAAGAACAACGTGTCAGATAATGTTGCTTCGATTGGGTACTTGGAATGCTCTTTTGTGAACTTTCCATCTGTGTACATCTTCAAATGGAATTTAAAGATACCAAAGCCATCTGTGAAAAAAGCCATTGAAAGTTGGAATTGAATATCAGTAATGCTAAGAGCAACGTGCAGAAGATTCTAGATGCAAAGTATCTTTCTCACGTATGTGTGCCAATAACCACATTTTCACATGTTCTTAATACATATACCTAAACACTTCTGTACAAATGATATTTTGTATTAGTTGCTCTCTGATCGTTTTCCCTAGCAATTATACTATTTAAATTTCCAAATCTGAAAATACGGAGTGCCTTTAGGGCACCTGCTTAAGATAAAATACAAAAACGTGGTTTTAAGTTATCAAAATTTAGAAGCATACAACCTTCCTTTACGTCAACAATTGTTTGTGGATCAAAAGACTTCTGGCTTAGGACAGCAGTTTTCTTGTAGTGACACGAAAACGAGACTCTGACATCATGTTCCCTGGTAACAAGTTTGCCAGTTGGTTTTGCCTTCATGTAGACCTCATTCTGATAAATGATATGGTCCTTTGTCTCAATTCGTTTTGATCCACACAGGTGTGGCAGAGTGTCAAGGATTATTTTGGAGCTAGATAATCTTGCTTTACATTTGGAATCCAGAAGATTGATTGTAGAGTATTTGGAGGCATTGAGAAATTTTCTGTCTATTTCAATGCGCATATAATTAAGGCTGCATGAGACGTCTGTTCTGTCATCTGTTATAAACAAAAATTCAGAAAATTGAAAAATTCGGTCAGAAAAATTCAAATTTTTATTTCTGATAGAGTCGTTCATTTGTAATCTGGTTTTATTTTGAAGTAAAAAATATTCAATATTATTAGTAAATATATAAAGAATGTTTCAAAAACTGCAGAAGATGTCTTGTCTTTTTGGAGCAATTTAATTGTTTTCACCTGTAACCAATCTAGTTGATTTAGACAAAAAATATTAAGGCTACAAATAAGAATAATTTCAAGGAATTCACAGACTGGTTTCAAATACCTTTGTTAACACTTTGTTGCAAGGATACCTGGAAAGAAAATAAAAACAGTTGCAAATTAGTAGAAGGCTGTTATAAGTAGAAAGAAAGATGGATATTTTCTTGAATCATCCTATGTAGGAGACGTATTAGGTATCACCATCTGTGACTCGTTTTGTTTATGATTCAATGTCAAGATCCCTTCAGGCAAAATACTTTTAAGCAAGGTCTTTTTAAGTTGGTGTCAGAAATGAATAAAATAGTATACTAGCTGCCAATGATACAGTTTTTGTAAGAAAATATAAAAGTGAGCTATATGTATTGTTTTGAAGAAGAAGCTAAAAGAACTTTGGAAGGAAGATGTCATTACATCTATAGGCAAGAGAAAGTGACGGGATTCACTCGGCGAGTAAAAGACTTTGTCTTCCGTGGTATTTATCACGACGCGCTAAAGTTTTTATAAATTATCTTTTACATCATTACCCTAGGAGACAATTATGTAAAATTCTATCACAGTACAAAATGTTTGGGGAAAAATAACAAAAAAGATTTAAAATTGACACGCTTCAAAGACTAGAAAAAATATCACATCTATTTCTAAATGACAACGTAAACTTGTATCAATTACCTGCACAAGCATGGAAATCAGCGCGATTGGCAGCAGGCACATCATCCTTGGCACTGTAGCAAATGCAAACTCTAACGCTGCTACCATTGGAAGGAGTGACACGAAGACGCACACAAAGAATCAATTTAATCATTAATGGGGATATAACATCCGGTAAGGTTACCAGCCTCAGGGCCAGAGAACGCTCCTTGACTAGGTGCTACCTCAACCACACAGATTACGGACGGTGTGATCAAGTAGAGAACCGCAATTAATTTGACTGCGTGTTGTTAGGAATATCATGTTTAAAGGGACAGAAAAGTGATTGAGAATCCTTTATAAAAAACAAGCTGTTTCTCACTGGGTACAAGGTCTTCTAGAGTGGTGGATAAAATGGGAAGGTGGTTCCTAAACTTTTTTCAGAAAAGGGGATAAACTTTTGAAAGGAATTAGAACTAATAGGTCTTTAGGGAGAAGGGACATCCAATTTGTCACAACACAAATCAAGACCTGTGGGGATGCAATTTATGTGTTTATATAAAAAAATGAAGCATGTTTGTAAAGCAAGGCTTCTATAAAGATTTTTCAGTAGCTTAAACGTACCAACTATACTCGACGATGTTTATGTGTCCTTTGGCAAAATACCCTCAGGACCAACAGAAACATCTATGATAGATATAAAACAAACCTTCAATAGCAGTTACTGATTAAATGCCTGACAATAACATTAAGAGTGAAACTCAGAGTTGGAACAGCCCTGTTTTATGCAATAAGAAGTAATTTCTGATTTAGCTTTCTTTCCTAGATCACTTGCAATTTGAATGTTTTCAGTGGAAACAATTTATGTGATGCTAAAGCACATTCATAAGAACAACAGAAGATTTTGATATTTTTGCTACTATTGTTTGTGCCAAGCCTTTTCTTTCTGGAGCATTTGTCCCTTGTGCCTGTGCTTATGTCGCTAGTGAGAACCAAGCTTTACTTCCTAGCTTATGCATTACTGTGGATCATCGATTATGGAATTATCAATTATCTGTGAATCACTTAAACAGTCTCATTGATAAAAACTCAATTCCTGGCCAATCGCAACTTGATATCCTTTAACCTTTCAAATGCAGGACAGAGAACTTTCTAAAACTGAATATTTGATAACCATTTAGAGTTTTTTTTAACCGTTCAAATATCTTATTAATCTATTGATTGCACCTATAAGTTGACCTTTCTTGCAAGGTCGTTGGCCCATTTTTGCTACATTTATCTTCCCATTGAAATATTTTCTGTTGGAAAAGTGATTGGAGCAAATTAGACATTGGATTAGTAATGCCACTGCAATTAATAATACACTCAAAATTTAAAAGACAAAGAAGTAAAAAACTGCAGAAGCCGAATTCTTTCTTGAATATTGAAGAATCCTTTCAAGAATGAAGGCATATATATATATTTGTGAGTGGCAAGGATCAATTTAGATTTGTAGAGCCTGCTTTCCACTTCAAAAGACAATAACACTTTGTAAGTATGAAACAGCGATTTTGTGAATGAATGGTTATCGGCTGTTCTTTTCGCGAATCACCAGTGTGTGATGACAAGGGGCAAATGGAAACTTCAGCCTAAAGAAAATTTGATGGAGCATACCGATGCATTACTTTAATGGCGCTATTCCTCTACAAAGGAAGGCTTCCCAACTGAAATGACACTACTTAATACCCTCGATGTAGGCTGGTCTTGGTCGACCACAGAAGTGCCAGTTTGATGCACCACACTGCCTTAATGTGATGCAAGTCGTCATTAAGGTTGTATGGGGTTTGTGAATGATCCGAATCTTTGATAAGATTCGTTTGCTGTGGTTTCAATAGCTTCCACCACGCCCTCTGGGCATTGAAACAGTACCGGACGTATGTGGAAAAGGAGGAATTTCTCAGTAAAGGCTTGGTGGTTCACATTTCATTGTCATTGCTCTGATGGACTTCCACCGATTTTGCTGCATGGAAGAGCAGACATGAAAATCCTTGCGGGATTTTTCGTGGTCCATTTGCTTTTGCAGGTGAGTGAGTCGAGCAACGTTCGATCACTGTTTTACAATTTGATAAACAAGAATTGTGCAAAACAGAAGAATTCTGCCGTCTTCCAAAGACACTTTTTGATGCTCTTTTTTATATCTCTGATTATTTGCAGCATAATAGATACTTTAAGGCTTGATATTTAGTGGCAGAACTTGAGAAGAAGAGGTTGATTTAAATTTCATGGTCTCAGGGTCTGTAGAGCTTTTAACGCAAAATGGAGAGTAAACAGCGAGTTGTTAAAAAAAATTATTTTTAAACATCAAAGTTGGTATATATATGGAAGCTTTTTCAGATTGGAGATTTGATTCCATGAGTGTTGTTGTCCATGTTTGCATCAAACGTGACATCATGTTTCAATATAGGATTATCGAATCTCATTGATCAAGTATAGTAACCACTAAATCACAAAAATGCTTGTTATATTATTATATAAAAGAAGCTTTTGTCCAGCGTTTCTAGAGCCCCCAAACACCCCGAATTGTCTACAGCAAGGGCACTCCGTCTCAAAAGACCACTTCCATCGCTAAAATGTCCAGAGTGAGTAATTTTCAGTTGAACACGTGGACAGAATAACTTCAAGCATTTTACTACATATCTACAAAATCTTGTCTAAGTAGGGATTTTAGCTCATTGTAGTGGTTGGGCTAGAAAATCTTGTTCTCCTTACTTGTAGTGCCCCCAAAAGTCCCTTGTGGCAATTTTCAACTTGTATAAAGCAAAATAGAAGGCGAAAAGCTGCCTTATACAAGTGAGATAAATGTTATGTCCCACAATGGTCAACAAGTGGTTTTCGACCGACAACTCGGGATATTTGGTACAGAAGAGAGGAAGGTCACTTTTGACAAAAAATAAAAAACATGAGTGCCAGAAATTGCTAAGATTCAGCTACGAATTCGATTTAATGATTGAAAAAGCGGAAAGATCCTGTATTTCATTCATGGACTTTTCTTTCTCAATTATGCTCCTGGCAAAATATCGTACATATCAATGCAAACTTTCAATTTAAGCAGTTAAATTACATGATACTCTTGCAGCCATTGTTCCAGGGTTGCGGAGCATCAAATATATGAAGCTTCCATTTCATCTTTTAATTGATCTTCGTGGGCTACTATTTCAGGTAAACCACAAAGAGCATTTAGTATGGTATCATTCGCATTTTGCTGGGAAGTAGGGCGACCATTTAGGGCCTTATTTGTTTGTTTGTTTGTTTATTGCTATTTTGCATCGGTTTATTAGCAGTCTTAAGGCTACTGTTTAAAAATGTAAAACAAATTGATCCAAAATTTTAGGTACAATAACCAAAAAAAAAAAAATATTGCTATTGTTTCTTATGCCAAAATCTAAAAAGGCTAAGAATCTGAATGAAAATTTGGTCTGCTTTAGGAAAATTAAAATTCTACTGTTAATGACATTTACTTTGGCACAGTATATAACAGCCTTAGGCGTTTTACATGAGACCCACCAAGGGTTATGGCGTTTGCAGAAGTGGCATCAGAGAATTGTGAACAATTCATGGATAATTTTTCATAATGAAGGATCGTTCGTTAGGATTGTCATCGACGTAGCAAGATAACTTGACATGTTTACTTTAAAGGGCTATTAACTTTATTAGGACATTATAATTTTGTTGATTTCTGTAAAGTAGCTGCAAAGGAGCTTTTTGATATCATCAGATGCATCATCCACATGATCCAGACATACAAAGCTGACAAACTTTAATAAATATAGTGGAACCCCGATATAACAAACCCCGGATATAACGAACTTTCCACTATAACGAACTAAATGTCTGGTCCCTTTGATTCTGCCTAACAAACTCCTTACAAGTTCTCTCGGTATAACGAACCACGGATATAACAAACTCTCGTTATTACGAACCAAATTGTGGGTCCCTTCATCATAATTATCCTCAATATAACGAATATTTCATAAATTTTTATCTGTTTTTTATATTCATTTATTTCTGATGTTCATTTGTCACTTTCTTTTGGGGGAAATCATTATTGTTATCAGCAAAACATGCTGACGATACATTTCAAGCTCTGGCTGATAGGCTCAGAGCATTAGATTGAAGTTTGATCGCGTCAAAAATTAATGAAAATGAGTACATTGACACTTTCGAATACATACCTATTTACATATGAGACATTGGCAATGATCGACGACAAAATTGTTTTGATAAACCCAGATGGAGAAGCAGAAGAAAACAAATAAGAATGTGAAGTAATCGAAGACCGCATTCAGCCGCCAACTAAAAGTGTAACGATATCAGCTTTCAGGGGCGAAACTACCGGGGGGTGTGGGGGGTGTGACACCCCCCCAATCCAAAAAATAGTCGATTTCGCAGGGCAATCGAAGATTTCGCAGGGCGCCAAGAAGAGCTTTGTTGCCACGCAGAAATGCCACCTCTGAAGTTCGTAAAGGGCCGTTCACGAATTTTGAAATGGAAATATTATATTTGTTATGATATGACCGGGAGACTCCCGATTTCAGAGGTCATCTTCCGACCTCCCGACAATTAAAAAATCCTCCCGATTTTTGAAAAAAACTTATAATAAAAATAAAAAGCTGGTATAACGTAAAGAAGAATCAAGATCACTGTCAACAGTGCAACTTTTTCATAACGGACGAAACGATTCGATGTATTCACAACATTACAATAGTTACGACGTCGGATAAAGCCAGACGCCAGACTGCCAGAAGCCAGACGCCAAACTTTTTAACATTTGTTGTTGTTTATTCATCATAAAAGATAACCTTTCTTATAATTTCAAACTAATCTAAGTGACATAAAATTGCCAAAAATTTTTGTAGGAATTAAATCGGGGTTCGCATGGGTTCGCATGGGTTCGCACTGATTGCAAGAAAACATTTCCTATAAAAATATAATCATAATTGTGCACAGTGGCGTTTCTAAGCCCAGAACTTTTTCGGCCCCTTCATTTTCCCCCCCTCACTTTCTAAGAAAGTTCTTCGATATTACTGACCTATTGATTACGAAGAACTGTTTTTCTATTAACATATTACAGACAGAGAAAATAAAGAATCCTGAGTCATGTTGAGGCCTCAGAAATGACAAAATGTCAGGAGCTTCCGGGGGCTTCGTCCCCTGGACCCCTACCAGGGCGATGCCCTGGACCCGCTGGGGGGCTCAGAGCGCTCCGCAGACCCCCAGCTCTAATTTTTCGCTCGCTCCGCTCGCGATGTCCCCCGCTTTTCTTTCTCTACAGGTTGGAAGGTATGGAAACTGCACATTTCTGTTCAGGAAAAAATTTTCCCAATCAAAACAACATCTTCCTCTGTCATTCACAACTACGTGCAATCTGAGATGAAAGGTTGCCGTTTCTTTCCTTCCCCAACGTCTAACACTAGAGTTTTAGTTCTTTTAGCACAATAGTATTTTGCTAAACTTTTGTCTGAAGATGCTTTTTAGCCCTTTTACAAGGTATAATTTCAAAAAATTTCTTGGTGGGTCCTCCTACCATGGTGGGTCCTCCTACCTCACTAAACTCGACTTTTAGCCCCACTGGGCTAAATTTTGTTGTGCTGTCTACATCATGTACCCCCCTCCCCCCCCAATTAGCTGTTTATTAGCTTAATTTTGCAAACCAACATTAAATGAAGTGAATATAAAAAACAATTCACGCTCACGTAGAGAAATAGAAATTTCATAGGCAATGAAGTTTCAAGTTTGTTTCTATTGCTTAGAAGTTTGTCCTTGGTAAAGACCAGTGTACACTGGTAAAGCTTTCACTAGTAACCTATAGACAAACCGTTGCTACTAGGTCTGCAGGGCACCACTCAGTTTTGCAGGGCAGAAACCCTTTTCACCCCCCCAAAACTATTGGCCAAGTTACGCCCCTGTCAGCTTTGCCAATGTCTGGGTACCAAATTGTGAGAGGACAATAAAGATCTTTATTTTTGATGACTAAACATTAGAAGTATTTAAATTTAGCTTTACTTTTTGGAGTAAAATGTGCACAGAAGTTGGAGATAGCCTAAACAAGCCCACCGCAGGTTTCTAGGCGTGAACAACTGCGAAAAAAACGTTTTCTCCCGGTTTAGCGAACTCCCGATGTAAAGAACTATTTTCTGGTTCCCTTCTGAGTTCCTTATATCCGGATTCCACTGTATGTACTTACTCGCTGTCGCACTCTTTCCTATCTATCTTCCTATCAATCTAAACTGAACCCTTAGGCATTAGTTAGATTTTCACCTCTAGATTATCTTAAAACAACATCGACGCAATGACAATCAACGAGATTTCGTATCCACCGGTTTTAAAACTACTCTCACTCATTATTATCTTCAGCAGGTTGAATTTCCGCATCCCTGTAAGGTCCTGGTCAGACGATCAAACAATTCACCCAACATTTTGCCCAACATGATCTGCGCGAGAAAATGTTGGGTGAAAAGTATGATCCTTTGACCACCAACGTTGGATCACTTTCCAACAAAAAAGAAGTGTGTTAGGTGAAATGTGGGGTTAAATATTGGATCGTTTGACCAGGGCTTATTCGAATTTCTCATTCAATTTGTTAAATTATGACAACCATTATTCTCCAAAATTTGCAGTTTATCAAATATCATTTAAGCATTTCCAAGCGTCAATAATGAAAAAGAGGGATAAAGTGCATCCTTGTCTAATTCCATTCCTAACTGTTTATGACTGTATTCAGTACAGTCTTTTAACTCCAATTTTTTGAAAAACTCCAGAGTCAGAACTCAAATTTTTACATACCAAACATGCTTTTGCAAAACTGAAATATTTCCTAACCTTAAACAAATTGCTTGGAGTCTCAGCTTGGAGTATGTGGGCCTCGATACTTGGCGAAACCCTTTTTTCTGCAGGGCGTTGATTGACACATTTAATTCCAGCCAATACCTTTCCAGCCCAAGGGACCTTTGTTTAAGATAATAGGCAATTGTCCCCTTCATTGCAATGACTTGGCCCTCGAGGTCAGCCTTCGCTCCTTCAGAATATTTTCTACAGTCATTTCTTGCAATCGTTCAGAAAGTTTCACTCTTTTTATGCATGCATTTGCTACGTTTGATTAAATCTATTCTTAAAATGGAATTAATTCCTTTAAGAGGCCCCCTAGACTTCGAGGCCCTGGGGAAATTTGCCCCCCCTTTGCCCCCTCTCGACATCCCTCTTAACAAAAGTCGTATAAAAGCCTTTTCTATCAAGAGCTGAATAATCCTTTTGTTGCAATTTTCTTTGTTCTGAAAACAGTTCTATAAACAAAAATAATGATTTCCCAATGAAAAGTGATTATGAAAAACTATGCTTTTAAATCAGTTACTTGGAAGTGAACTTTGTTTCATTCAAGCCGAAAGTGCTGTTTTAGATCTGTGATACATCTACAATGCCTGTCAAAAGTCTTGGAACACTGACATCAATTTCCAAGGTCAAAACCAATCATCCCCCTCTCCCCAACGGAACAATGTTGGTTTACTATCAAACGGGTTAGGATTTTAGGAAGCACTTTCTTTTGCGCTTCTTTTATGATATTTCTCTAAATCATCAACATTGTTTGAGGGGGAAGGGGGCGGAAGTAGCAATTTTGTTTCATGAAAGGAATGAAAGATATCAAATGCAGCGTAAATTGGTGGGTGTTCCAAGTACTTTTGGCAGGCATTGTAGTCATCTGAACAAAATGGTTCAATGACATGACGCATCAAAGCCTTCCATATGATCAACAAACTACCTAAAATATCATCAGAAGAGCCCAGAGATGTGATCTGCAGCATTGATATAAATCTTGGGGGTAGTTAGGACTTTGCATTGGGGGGTGGGGGCAACATTTTTCAATCAACATATAGAAATGACTATATCAAAAATAACGTACAAAGGTAACACAAAAACATAAACGAGCAAACACAGTCATGGGAGGGAGGGTTAAGAGGTAAGAGGCAACATGTGCACATTTTTAAGCTCAGGGCGATCTGTGTAAGATTTTGTTTGGGGACCCTCTAGAATATTGAGGGGGCCCATGCCCCCTTTGATCCCTCTGCTACCCCCTTTATGCTCATTATATATTCAACAATGTTAGAATACAGTATCGTGCTGGCTTGCGTAGGTTGGCAGCATGTTTGCAGCTCCATATGAAAAGTTCGAATGTATGGAAATCGAAAAATATTTTCAGTAGATGCTTTTTTATTGGTACTAATTGATAGACTATGATTACAATCAAATTTTTTTGTTTGCCAAGTCAACATAGATTGCTTCTGATTTCGATTTTTTATTATGAATTTGTAAGATAGTTGCCTAAATTAATTTCTTATCCCACTTCGTATTCTTTCACTGTTCACCTTGTGTCCCTTTCCCACAACGAGAGAATTTTGGACTTAGTAAGGAAGATTTGTTATTAATCAGAACAAATTCATAATTTTTTCAACCCAACATAGGACTATAAACGAAAGAGTAAAGCCTGCTACAATGCTAGTACGTTTACAGAAGCAGACCAAAAGATTTCCATAGAAAAATAACTTGATGATAAAATTTATTAATAAAGTTTTTGAGCTCTTTGAAAATGTATATATCACTTGTTTTTGTGAATTAGATTTTTGGAGGATGAATTTTTTGGTAAAAGATTTGATACGGGTTTAATAAAGCATCTGAGCATCTGAAAACAAGAATATCTAGAACAGAAGATTGAAGCCCAAGAGAATTGGAGTAGAAGTCTTATGTAAGCTAGCAGCTTATCTGGATTCTAGACTCTAAATTAAAGTTTGGGGACAAAAGACTTGAATAACGCGAGGTGAAGAAGTAAGGCCATGAGATGAACCTTATGCGTAGATTTCACGTGCAAATATTTTGTTTTCGTTACTGCAAAGGAAATCATATTTCACAAAAATATTCGATAAAGAAAAAGAAGCATTCCCTCCTCCTCTTCTCTCTCATTTTGGGGTCAGTCCGAAATAGAGACCTGTAATCTTAGCCCTACGTATATTTGGTTTGATAACCAATGTAGTTTAGCGCGTTGAACGTCGATCAACAATGAAAAAATTGATATAATTAAATGATGACTTTGCACAATAGATAGTTAAACATAATTTCGACGTTTCGTGCCCAATCTTCTTCTACTTATATGTATGTGCATTTTCTTTAACTTTTTGTAAACCATTCTTGGGACTACGAATCAAACCAAGCACAACCTTAGAAGTAAAAAGATTATGATCATGCTTTATGAACAATAATCATAATCATAATCATAACTCACGCTTGATCAATTTTTCAGTCCATAGACTGTTCTGCAATCGTCAGTTTGGAGCTCATCAAGTACTCCAACCCAAGGGGATCGACTGCATTTGGAAGGAAGTGTGATCTCTGGCCAGGAGGACAGCAGCTTCCATGTGACCCTTCGTTCTTTATTTGCTTGACTCCCAGGCCTGCAAATCGCAAAGGATGTTTATGGACAAATGCTTGGATGAACCAAAATGAAATAACCTTTCGTCCTGGTATGATATTAGGAAGAACACTAAAAAATCCGATTCTTTACAAAATTACAGAAGGATGGACGGTATGTTATTTAAAAGGCATTTCCTATACACTGAGCTGAACTTTTCTGTCAATGCCTTTCGTAGGTCTGTGATACTTGATAAGCACATCCCTGGTGATAAGACTTACCAATTTGCGTTTAAATCAATTTACCTTCTAAATATCAAGACTGATTTGGCAACCTTTACAGTCATATGCTCGGTTTTCTGACTGGCCTAAGTCGACCCACACTTAGGTCTATATGTTTCTGAACTTAAAGTTTTTGATCTTTGTTCCGACATTTTATTCTCTTAAAGTGTCAGACGAAAAGCTTACGTATGTTTCATAATGCTTGCTTCTTTCAAAGCCTTTGCTTGAAATTGGCAAACAATCTATTCGTTGTACAAAACTTAAGAATGGATTTGAAAAAGCAAACATCTTGAGTCATGCATACTTTGAGTCAAACTTTTCGTCTTGTCAGAACAAAGATAAAAACTTGGCCTGTTTCCACTTCAGCCAATTCTTCAGCGAATTCGCCGAACGTGTTTCCGTCAGAGGAAAGCTGTGTTTTGTTGAGAATTTGATTTCCTTTCAACTTTAAAATTTTGCTAGCAAATTCGCCAACGCCCGGAAAGAACAAAATATGTTCCAATCGTTGACGGATTCGCTGAAGCTTTCGTGCAAGTGGAAACGCTTAGAAATATATAGACCCAGTTGTGGATCAAAATAGGCCAATAAGAACGCGAGCACGTGACTGTTGAGGTTGACCAATCAGTGCCGCTTGCCCATTGAAAATGTTATCAATGGAGTTCTAAGGTGAAAACGAACTCCTTTTGTCTACACAGTAGCAGTTTTCGTGCTTATGTAGATTCCAAAACTGCTAGGTGGAACGACGATCGGGCTTCACCAATAATCCGAAAAATGTCGCCATATAGTTTTTGGCTAAATCTCGGTTTTCCAGTAAATGCTACCCTATAGCAGAATCGCATGTTTTAGTTGTAGTTTTAGATCTGCTAGACCCAGGCTGCTCTCTTTGGAGGAGGCATTTTAAATATACAAACATTGAAAAAAGAGACTGCACAAACAGCTGCTTTTCTGATAATGTTATCGGACACATCTGAAAAAATTCAAATTAAAATACTTTCCTTTAAAGGGACAACTGACGATCGATATTACAGTGAAAGATGAAGACGGACTATTTGATGACCAGCTTGACATGTTTAAGGAAAAATTGAAACTAGGGAATAACATCGGTGAGAGTACAATAGTCATGAAAGGAGAGACATCGACGCTATCATTGAAAGTTCGGTATGTTCATTGTATATCATCGTATCTTGTAGAACAAGTCATACAGGGTCAATTAGGCCTACTTCCAGTGTGAGCAAGCGCAATATTCAGATCAACGAAGGACCCATCTATTCAAAGTCAAGGGTGGGCCTGCGTCACAATGGCATCCCATCATCCCTTGCCAGGGCCGCATCTACGTCTGTTGGGGCCCTGGACCCAAAGTTGATTAGGGCCCTGGCCAAAAGTTGATTGGGGCCCTGGGCTCAAAATTGATTGGAGCCCCTTAAAATATACCAAAAATTGTGTCAAGTGCACTGTACTTGGCTAAACATAATCAAACATAATCAACCAACTATAAAACACGAATAAACTTGTATCCATTTCACATTTCAGTACATTCCCAATACAACTACTCAACTGTTGAAAACTTTTCGATGATTTTATTGGGGTTTAAAACTCCCAGGAAATCAAAATCTGCTGCCATTAAATATAAGGAAACAGCGCACTATTGTGACATTATGGACCTTAGTTCACACTCTTTTTATTTACCCTTTTCAGCGTTGTGAAACATTTTTCACCGGAGAAACCTCTGTATGGCAAATTGAGCAACTAACTTAGTGCAGTCCAACCAGGACAAGCGAAAGTTTCAAAAGCCCTGGAGTATAAAAAAAATATAATGCCCCCTGCGAGCGGAGCGAGCTGAAAATTCTTGTGACAACGCCCTTTATTCCATTCTTAAAGTGATTTTCATAACTTTACCCCCTAGCTCCATCCAGACAAAATATTGAAATCAATAGCACTTTAAAGGCTTTTAAAATGTTGTACGGAGCCCCCTTAATCGAAGAATTTTAAGGAGCCCCTGGGCCCGGGCCGATTGGGCTCATGGGTAAATGAATCACTGTCCCTTGCCAGTCCTGCTAAAGCCTATATGATTTGCAAAGCTTGCTGGTATCGTAACTTCACTGCCCCATAACAAAACAGTTCACATGTTACTCGAGAAAACATTTCAGAATAGCACACGCTCTTTGATGCGTGTTCATACACTTTCTTGAAGTCAAAATTAGATATAAATTTGGATTGCCACCTTCCATTAGATAGTTTAAATGGTTTAAATATAACAGTATTTGAGATCAGCGTGTCGCTGGTTTTCAAAATGTTCATAATTGAGCATGTCACAAATCATCAGGTAAAAGAAACTGTAGCAAATATGAAACACCGCAATACGCCGAGAATAAACAACAATAGAAACAAATAAATCAGTAAAGGCTAATATTTCGAGCAAATACTTCATCAGAGCAAAAGTTGAAGAAACTGGTCTTTGCAACTTTGCTTAAAGGGACGAACAAAAAAGAAATCCCTTGAAAAAGAAGATAGATTTTCTAGGATGTTCATTTTGTTTATTACTGGCTTTAATTCATGGAATTAATAATTTAAGACTCAATTAGCATAGGTTTTGCTTGTACAGGGTTGTTAATTTTCTAGACATGTGCATTATTGTCACAGGTGAGATACATTCAAGTTTATTTTTCTCAATATCTTCTCATTTTTTTCACCAGAGAGCTATCATAAATTAGACTCGAAATTATTTAAGGTTGGCAATCGCCCAAATGTTACTGTGGAATGGGGTCAATTAATGGGTCTAACTCACGGGAAATTTTGATATACATAGTTTTCGCATAATATATAATTTTGATAGTCCCTGAGTAAAAGTAAAGAATATTTTGACCTACCACTACCCAAAACAATGTTATTTATTTCATAAGAATTATGTGGGCCTGTTTTGACCAAAGATAGTGTAGGAGATAAGCAAAATGAATGCGCAAATCGTGATAAAAGCATGAAAATTTGTACAAACATTTGGGAAATCTTCTGGCCATGCATGGGAACGTTATTTTAATTATTGCTACAGAGGTAATCAATTTAGAAGTCTGGGAACAATTAAGCATTCTAAAAATAGCATTTGAGGTATTTCTCAGACTGGGTCCCGACCCCATCTTATTCAGCATATCAAACTGCGTAGTTTTACAGATTTCCGTGCTTTTATCACAATTTGCGCAAGATTGTCGTTTCAGAGGCCTTGGCTACTACACTAAGAGGGATAACTATCCTCCCTAAACTCATAAGTACCTCCACATTCTGCTGAAAGCTCGCCATTTCCGGGCTCGGTACTGTAGCTAAAAATTTATTTTTCTATTTAGGTCTTTGTGTATTGACAATTCGAAGAAAACCGACTGCATTAAAGACTGCATCCCAGTTTTAGATCCTAACAAAAGATGGATATGCAGAAGGAAAGGGCCAGGTTGCATCCCACGTGACGATGATCTTGGACACTACGTTTGCGATGAGATAACTGGGAAAAAGAAATGCCTGCCAGGATGGACTGGCAAAAACTGCTTGAACGGTACTTTAGTCATAATGTATATACTATGGGTATATAAAAGATAAAGACAATATTGTCCCTAATTTGTTTACCTTGGAAGTCTTTTGTCGATCAAGTAATGCTGTTGCCGGCTAACTAATGTCAAACCATCTTTGGTTGCACCCCTTCACCATCCGTCAGATGTGCCACTGATTGCAATTTTGCATTGCTGATTGCAAGTAATGGCAATTTTGTATCGAAAGTAGTAAGTTTCTAGTCGATTTGCAAAAACACACCGGTCTTCAACTTGAACGCATTCGAAACCTGGAAGAAAACGTTTACTGAAAAAGATACTAAAGACCTAGCTTAAAGCTCAATAATTTTAGACTATGAAGTTTGAAGTTTCCTTAAAAGCGAAAACATTATTTCAATTCTCTTTCATAGTACTTAAAGGCAATCTGTCTCGTTGTGGATTGGTTAACGAGAACAATAGCTGGAGCAATAGCCTAAACAAGATTCCAGCGCTCCGCCATATTTTTTACAATGCGATAAATTAAAGGGGGGCTGGAAACAATAGAAATCCCTTTGTTCTTATAACCAATCAACGTCGTGACAGATTGCCTTTAATAAAAAGAAATTGTGTTGTCAATGAAAGAAATGCCGTAATCAAACCATTCTTCTTTAATTATTTGGTTATTCCTCAATAATTTTGGATTCCTTCAATTGCTTTTGATTCTTCTTTCAAGATGTAAGGACGGAGATATCATGCAGTACAAATTACATGAGAATCGACATCGATCGAAAGTATTTTGATCCAAAAAAGTACACAGATATCAATCTTCTGGATCCTTCGTGCACTTCAAAGGTCTCTGAAACTCACATCACGCTCGATACATTGCCTCAGTCATGTGGAGCGATCAAGACAGAGACTAACGATTACATCATCTACCAAAACGAGGTTTACATGAAAGCTCGGCCAACACTGAAGCTGGTAACGAGAGAACATGACGTAAGAATTAAGTTCAAGTGCTCCTATAAGAAAAGTGACATCACAGGCTCGACCTCGTTTAGACCGTTGACAAGTATTGACGTACAAGAAGGTGAGTCTATTGTATTGCTTTAGTCAAGCATGATTTCTAACAGAAACACTCAATTTTGTTCTCTTCAAGCATGTTTAATTAATGATTGAAAGAAAATGACTGTTTATCGTTCTATAATTAAGTGCTCGATGCCGTATAGACAGCTGATAGGCAGAGTTGTACACGTGATTTGATGTATAGAACAGGACGGTTCGAAATCACTACTCTGAATTTCATGCCTAATGCTACTCTGGGAACCAGACTCACTATATATAACATAAAATAGATTTCTATTATTTCATATAGAGAGTCTGGTACCCAGGGTAGCCTAATGCAAGCCAACTTTTGAAAATACACTTTCTATAGCTTATATTGACGAATGATATAAGTATCTTCCACCAAGAACCAGAATATCATAAAACATTTGAATTAAAGAATGCGAGACCCGCTAATCGAAACGGTTTTTCAGATTCCTGATTTGGTAAGATTGATTAAAAGAGGGTGCTAGCTACCAAATGAGAGTTTATGCATCAGACTGACAATCAATCAATCATCCGACTGTCAATCATTACACTTTATACCAATCAATCAGTCATACTACAACAATCAATCAATCAATCAATCAATCAATCAACCAATCAATCAATCACAATCTTCACTAACGTGTCAAAATCATTTAGCTTACAAACTAATTGGGGACATAGCGAAAAAGGTATATAAAGTTAAATCAAAGTACATTACATGAAATTCCAGTCTAATTATTAAAACATAAAAGTCCCATGTACAACAAAAATACGGTCTAAAGTTTTTATACCCATTCTTCTTATACTTTTTTTGAATTGGTTGATTGTTGGCACATCCTTGATGGCTCTCTTTAATTTCCTCCACAGATATGGGCCAAAGTTTTGGAAAGTTTTCTTTGTTTTGCTTTTGTGTAATTTCAAAATAATGTAGTTGCTTTTTCTTGATTTATGAGTTTCTTTAATTGCAAATATATCCTTTATATAGTTTGGAGCAAATCGTTTTTAACTTTGTACATTAGTACGGCAACGTCTTGAAGTCGTCGAACTCTGGAGAGAGGGCAGGTTTGCTTTTATAAGAAGTTTTGCATACGGCTTTCTTTTGGAGTCTCTCTATCTTTCTTTTATCTGCTACTTTGCAGAAGTATCAGACTGTACTGCAGTTTGTCAAGTGAGAGAGAATTGCTGACTTGTAGATTGTTAGCTTTGCATTGGTGGGCATTACATTACGAAATCTAGATATAACACCAATTATCTGACTTACTCTGTTGCACATATTGCTGATATGAGTGTTAAAAGTTAGCTCATCGTCCAGCTCAACACCAAGTAGCTTGAGACATTTTGTTTCCTCTGCTTCATTGTTTTCATCACTTTTATTGCGCCAGCAGTTTGCACCCATTCTTGATAGAGTAGATTTTTGTAAACATTGAAAGAAGCCAATTTTATCTTTCTTCCGCCAAGATAGCTTTCTCCAACAACTTGTTAACTTAATTTGAAAAAGTATCAATGTGAAACAGTTGCCTGAGAAAACTTCCACTAAATTAGAACATGATTTGAGCTCTAAAAATTAGGCAGTCTGCAGCAGTCATTAACGGACTTTTTGGCCTAATGAATATAATTGAAATTAAAACCATACGAACTTGAGAAAAACGCAAAAATCTAACTCATTTATTACTGAGAAGGCTGCTGAAGGGCAGCGAAAATTCTAGGAACAAATTATAATCGTGTATGTGTGTTTTTAATTGTGTTTCAGTTTCAGTTCAGTCTTAGTTTATAATTTTGAAATTTCAAATAAGCTAATAAGATGTAAATAAATGCAAATAATACAATAACAAGGGGAAAAATAGTATATTTGCAAATATTACGGTTTTTAAACAAAATAAAAGTACCAAGTTACCTAATTACAACTTGTCGTATTACACATGGGATCTCATCATATCATTGGCCAAGAATACCAGTGACCGAAAACATGAATATAATTGAGATTATTTGAATATACTAATCTTAATGTTTAAGATAACATGACATTTAATCATTTTTTTGTCAGATTTGAGATAGGAATTAAACAATAGCCATTAAACAAGGTCAAGACAAAAGTCACAGAAGATGTCTTGATTTATATGATATTATTAAAAAAATTCAAAATGGAATAATTGAAGGTTAATGTCGATATTCTTGAATAGTATTGTATATTATTCGATGCAAAATTGAAAAACTTGACTCTGTATGTAAGAACCAGTTCATTTAAAGGCCTTTAAAAAATCATGGATTAATTTATGGATCAACAAACGAATTAATGATAAATCAACGATTGCTAGATTTGTCAATAAATATTAATGTGCTGTTTTCTAGTAAAATATCATTGGGGTTTGCAACATAAATTGAAAAAAAGCAAATTATTCTTACATATACATTTTTAAAATTTTCAGGATAACATCTACCATTCTATTCACAAATTCCGAAATTAAATGTTTTTGAGATTATAGATATATTGGCATCAGGATTTAGAATTTCAACATTGTCAGTTGCATGTGATAATGTCAAATCTATAATTTTCGGAAAAGTAGAAGAGAGGGGAAGAGATGCAATGGTTTACGGAAATTACTGTGAGCATGCAAAAGAATTTAATTAATTGTTAGTTCCTTTAAGATTTAGCTGAAATTTGAAGATGTTTCAAAACTAGTATTCAAGAGACACATTAAAACGATGTTATCGTTATTTTTCAGATGCTGCTTTTCTTTACACGAGGCCAGAAGAACAAACATTTTCCTACGGCAAAAGTGAGTTATCGGTCAATTATGAATTATATATATTGCGATTTTTGCCACACTTTCAATATTTCTGAATAAGTTCAAAAATTCAAAGAGCACCAAAGGTAGAGCATAAACTTTTACAATGTAAGGCTACAATTTAAGACCTTTATTCAATATTTTTGAATAACGTGGAAAATACAAGGATCATCAAAATTTGAGCGCTAAATGTTGTTGAAAATAGAACGAAAAGAAAAACCTTGAGAATACTCAATAATCATACAAGTTTGAAAGTTAATCAATAAACCGGTTTAAAAACAATTAATGCAGAGAAAATACAACTTTAAAGCTATTAAAAGAAACCTCTGAAAGTATATTATGGATCAATTTAGTTAAAGTGTAAATATTTCTAGTTTTGGCAAGTAGTAGTAGCTTTCAATAAAACAGAAAATGCCCACATGTACTTTTTATATTTAGGCATTTTCTTCACAAAAAAAACAACTTTTAAACCAAGTCATAAATTTTTACCTTGTGGTGGCTATTATATGTGATCTGATGTTACAATACCCTTTGTAATAACAGTAAGGTCAGATTTGGACAAAAATGCAGTGTAGCAACAAAATTTTCAAGCTCTTTCTTTTATTGTTGTATTAATAATTGAATATTTACTATTCTTTGTTTTTTGAATATATTATATAGTTAGCTTTAGCTTAGGATAATATAATAACTTTGTCATGTTTACCGATAACAGTTTAGCTCGTGATTAGAATAAAAAACTTTACATTGACTCAAATATACATATAAAAGAAAAATAGAAATATACATACAATTAGCTAAAACTTCTTAAAACTTGATTTAATTCTTGCATTTGAAGAGTATTAAAAAAATATGATGCCTTTGAGACGTTTCCCGACACAAACATCACTTCAAAAGAAAAGTTTTATCTTTCTCAAATATTTTTTATATCTTTTCTTAATTTTTCACTCGCTCAATGTGCTAGAAGTCAAACAAAAGTATAAAAGAACTAGCAACTTATCAACAGGCTTAATATTGTTTCTAGGATTAATGAATCAATTATTTCTTGCGACTCTGTTAGACCAAAGCCTACTCTGTTTAACAAATATCCAGCCGAAAGATTTATCCATTAGAGGATGAAAAATAGATAATATCTGATCTCTTAAAAGCTGTCGAATTTTTGGAAGGTTTTGTTGTAAAACGATTGAAATTCCCTCCAATTTTCCATTGCTAAAACTTAAAATTTTATTTTGTCAGGTTAGCTCTTTATTGATATTATTTTAATTACAAGTAATATTGTGTTATTTTTTCCATATCCTATCTATTGGCAGGGATGGCACCAACGGGGTGCTTGGGGGCTGCAGAAGCCCCCCAAAATTCATTGAGCCCCCGTCGGCACTTAAATTTTTGAAAAATTTAAGCAATGTCTGCACTTTCATAACTTCCATTTCGTTTGATTTTTTTCAATTTTTTTCACTGTCGGCACTCTGATATTACAGCCCCCCCACCAGCATTTCTTTTCTGGCGCCATTCCTGTTTCAGAGCCTGCTAAAAGCACCTCAAGAGTTTTATTGCCTTTAACAGTAATTAGAATCTTCAAAAATTTTGCTTTTTACAGGGGGCTACAGTGCCCTGACATTCAATTTGAAAATGTTCAAGGACCAATCATTCAAGGAAATCCAGAATCAGTTCCCTGTTAAAGTGAAGCTGAATCAGTCGCTGTATTTTGAAGTCAACTCTACATCAAATGACGATGATCTCGTGCTCTTGATCGATCAATGTTACGCAACTCCAACCATGAATTACAGCAATAAACTCAAATATGTTTTCATCAACGATGGGTAGGTACATTTTAGCAGAGGTGTTGTGCCTGATGGGCTGTGGCAAGGGGCTCAGCTTTTCTTAGCAATGCCAAATATAAGTCAATTTATTATTGGTCCGAATCTCTCTTTCTTTCCTTTGTGAGGTACTTGTAAGCAAATCCTTTTCTTCAAATCACGAATAGCCAGTTTTGATTGGTGCGTTCTGTGCAAACAATAACAATCAGTGTCATTTTAAAATCTTCAACGGGCAATACCGTTTTGTATCAGATAGTCTCTTTTGTAGTTTGTACAGCAAAAACATAAAATATGATTTCAAAGTAGCATACTAATTTTGCTTTAATGTTGATCTCGAAGAACTATTTTATGTAACAGATCCAATCAAAATTTTGTTTGTTAATAAAACAATACGGAAGGCAGGGACACTACAATTCAAAGAGCAAAATAAATTGGTTCTGTTTAATTGATATGCCTTAGACGCTGAATTCTAATTCTTTTTCTAGTCTCCGTTAGTTGCTGATAACCAAAAATCGTCTGATTTCACTAACAACAGTGCTTAAGTAGCTCGTTATGGTATATTTCATGATTTTAAATATTGTTTGCTCTCTTGAAACGTGTTTTGTGAAGACTCAAGACCTAAATGAATAGCATTGAACGACCACTTATTGTCATTCAGTAACTTACGTCATTGAACAGGCTCAATGAAACAATGTAGAAGGATTTACAGAGAACTGAATTGCTAATGTTGTCAAAGTTGTCAATTGCTAATGTGAAAGCAAGGATGGGTTCAAACATTCAGTTGTAATCGAGCACTGCATTCTCTGCAGAGGAACGGACAACATTGCTTTTGCATGCAAACAAACAATGTCAAGCCATGCAAGCAGTTTTAGGGTAGGGCCTACTCAGAGACGTAAGAACCGGTGATGCACCAGGGGAACGTGCTACCAGCTGTTAGATAAAATCCCCCTTTTTGTGGTATGACGCCCCTTCCACTCCGTGTCCCACAAACATTAAAGTTCCTCCGATGTCCCTGGGCCTACTGGATATGTTTTAGAAAACGACATCTCCAGTCTCTTAATATTATAATTTCTACATCATGCTTACTTCCTCGAGGAAATTGTAGCTGTATCTAAAACTCGAAAAATAAAATACTATGATATCAGGACTGCCTGATATACAGAAGCGATAGAAAAACATAAATGACAACATACACTCCTTTAACTGTATACGCTCCTATAAACAGGGCTTCGGAAAGCTACTAGCTAAATTAGCACAAAAAACTAACAGTTAAAAGCTATGAATGAAACCAAAGTAAAATGAAAAAAATATAAAGATTTTTCTTGCTTTTTGATGTGCCGAACAGTCTGCGTAATTGCAATTAACAGCCATACAAAAACATCCATAGTAAGATTATCACAAACAAATGGTTGGAGTATGATCTTAAAAGATAAGCTAGTAGATTTTTACTGTTGATATATCACTGGACATGCCCTTACTAAGAAAAATCTTTTATCGGGTTTTGTTGAGCTATTTCTATCTGTGACTTTCATTGAAGATTAAAAAGAGACAATGAGGGCAGATTCAGACAATCTTTCTTAGGCCCAAAGATAAGGGTTTATCCAGCTACCCAGATATACGAATAGTTGCATCATAAAAAGAGGCATTTTTCAACTTTCCTTTCTATCTCTCTATGCATGACTTACAGATGTCCCTCTAGTGACATAATGTTGAAAAATTTCAGAACCTTCATATAATGTCTTTTTATTGCGTATTTCAGCTGCCCAAAAGACAAAACACTGACACTAATGACTGGAGAGAAAAAAAAGCAAAGATTTGGCATCAATACGTTTGCATTTGTGAAGCGCAGTAGAAGTATTTTCATCCACTGCGTGTTGTTTATGTGCAGGAAATCGTCGGTTGAAAAAAAATGTCGCAAAGATTGCAATGGAAAGTATCTTAGCAGGGGCAAAAGGGAAACAGACGAGTCTGCCAAAGCAAGGTCTAATTCAAACGAAGAGCTGCCAAGCACCAAGTACTATCTTCTAGATATTGGTCCAATAAACGGCGATTTGAAGCGAACAAATCCTGTTGAGAAGGGTAAGTTATACTAGATATCACAATCTAAAAGAAAGAGATTGCTACAAATTCAACAGTTATTCATGAGCAATAACATGTTTTACGTGCAAGAAAACTATAATATGTTTATAGGCCTAGGAGACATAGGGACTAGAAAGATTGCAGCCCCCCTTATCAGTAAATATTTGTCACATTTCGGGCACCATTTGGGCACGTCTATCTAAATACAGCAATCATATCGGTGTAAATCTTTACGAAAACCCCCTTCCCCCTTAACGTTTCGCATCCTCTACGCCCAAAGATTTGTTTATATGACTGCGTTGCACTTTCATTCTACTAAAATTTCAAGTAAAATTAAACTTGGTCTTTGGTTCTTTTTGACGATGGCTTTCACTAGAAGTCCTAGCCATACATTGCTATTATCGTATATTATCTCACCATCCTAGAAACGCATTCCGATTTAAAAGTCATTTGAACGTCACAGTGACGTTCTTGGATGATTCCATTGAAAAGATCGTTACATGATTGCTCAACAGATCTTTTGGGGCCAGGAATGATAAGTTTAGGCTCTTAAACTCAAAACGTATAGCAAGATGATAAAACAGCATCGAACAGTGATCGGTTCAGTCGACTGGGAAAAAAAGACATTTTATTTCCGACCAATCATAGACCAATCAACTGAAATTTTTACCCAGTACAGTTTAATACTAATTGATACTAAATAGTTATGTAAGGTCTTTCCTTAAACTTTGCGATTAAAAATTTATCCAGCCTCAACTAACCAACCTAAGGGTTAGCTTTTACAAAAAATTGCAGGTCTTAAAACATCGATTAGATCAATTGATGGTCATACAGTAAAACTTTTCACAGAAAAATAAGCGGGAATTTTAAAAATCTAACTCCTCACATGCTTATAACAGTGCTGTACTTCAAAACTCAATGGCCCTCAATAGCAGTACTGACGAAATCTTAAGGAGTATTACGAATTAGATGCCATCACCCTAGCAAATTCAGATCAAATCATGATCAGATAGTATGGCGATAAGATGGTATCGCGATCAGATCATATCGTGATCAGATCAAATCGCGATAAGATCATATCACAATCCGGCCAAATTCAGAGCAGATCATAATAAAATTGTTTTGCCACAAGAGTTTCACCTGTCAACTTTGATGTTTATAAAGCTGAAGTTTATAAGCGTCCGTTTTTTTAAATTGCCCATAAACCCTCATGGTAAAATTTTTGGCACCAAACCAGCTCCTTTGCAATTTTTATATGAGTTTATACTTTTCATGGCAAGTGAGGTTTTGACAATTGTTTTGTCACAGGAGAGAGCAGAAGAGAGGGAACACCAGTGGTGACAATTGCACTTGTAGCTGGAATCGCTGTATTTGGGTTTATAGCAGCGGCTATGTTTGCTTGGATAAGAAAGATCGAGAGGCCAAGCCAATACCGTCAAACAACACCAGGCAATTAAAATGGATCCAGTGCAGATAAAGCAAGAGCACAGAAAAAGACAGAGAGTCAATTAAACCAAAGATAATTAATCCCTTATAATTGTTCTTTTTTGCACTTTTGTAGCTTTATTATTGATATGAAATGAATAGCAAACTCATAGTCTTATTTTTCTCATGCAACGAATTTCCTTCCATGAGTAAAAAAGGTCTTTCGCAAAAGACTTCAGGAAACCAAAAAGTGACGTCACTGAATTTGGAGAGGCAATGATTTAGACAATCTAGATTTTGCATGGTAAAAAGCAGATTTTGAAGTTGACGAAGTAAACATAAGGACAGCAAGGTAAGCAGTCATTATTGCTATAGATTCGTCAACTTGAGTACGAGGCAGTGCTGGTAAAGTATCAATTGGTAGGTAGGCAGGTTCTGAAGAATTATTTCGATCTAAAAGTGGGAAAAGGGCGGCTAACGGCGACATCATGAATTGAAAAGAAACAGTGATAGGTCATGACAACTTACGATGCTTGTTGTCTTTGGTGGCTTTTGAAAGCTGATGTCTTCCTAACTGACGATTTGAAGGCAGAATCATGATCTAACAAGCATGCAGTAATCACTATTCTTGGGTTCATATATTTTGGTGTGGTGTACACGAAGTCCTTATGAGATTTATACGCGTTTCTCGTCTGTTTTTAAAGGCTATTTCCTTTCGTTAGAAGTCTATTCCTCTAAACTTTATAACTATGAGTAATTCAAACTTTTTTGAATGATCCGGGGAGACAGTGTTAGTACTGAGACATGTCTATTCGGCAGCTTGTTTGTTAGCTTTTTGAAACGGTGTGCTAATAGGAGGCTTGTGTGGGATTAGATATTGCTTTAGAATAGCAGAACTTGACAAAATTTATAGGATTCATATTTCAGGGGAAGATGATCACCTGGCTGTTGCATATTCAATTAATCCATCGTATAATATAAAAGCATCTTGTGATTTTAGGAGGTTCGCTTATTAATATGAGATCAAATCCAGCCCATAGGGGTACCATATATAGAGTAACGATTTGGTTCCAAAGAGACTTTGGTACTGTAGGCTACAGTGTTAGTGTAGAATCTCTCAAGGCTAGCTGTAATGCTGCTCAGTACGACAGTAGAAAATTATAGAATACCGTCAATACGAGAAATCAACGGAATTGACTAAGCTTATGATAAATGTATGCTGCTTAGTAAATTGTTGACGGATGTGATGATTTTACGAATTCACGTGAAGAATATAGAGTAGAAAGAAGTATTGATTACGATCGACGGGAGTCGTTGCTTGTCAGCAGAGGTTAACCATATGACAATCTCGGATCAGTGCATCATACACTATTATTAACTACAATTTACGCGATAAACCATCAACCCTAAGCTATTTCAATGCTTTTCAGTAGCAGCATTTTTGGATGGAAAAGGCTTTGACAAGCATTTTACACAAAAGACGCTACAAAAGATGAATATCATATTTCGCTGTTTCCTTTTGCTGCTTCTTGCTCAGGTATGTTGTTTAAAATTATGCCAATGAATAACTTTCACCAAAAAATGCGTATGCTGTTGTGCAGCTCACACAGAGTTCAATATACCATATCTAGCCTTGTTAACAATTCGATGTTAAGCAGCCGTTGGATCAGGTTTACCAGGAAGGTGAAGTTCCGGAGGCTTTATAGATAGTAAGATCCTAAAAGAACACGTATTCTTTGAATAAAAATACCAAGAACACCTAATCTAGTAGCTGGGAACTTTCGATAACTTTCGATCAAAGATCGAAGATCGAGCTTCGTGGCCATCGAGGGCGAGAGGTGTCGCATGTTGGGCTGTAGCTCTTAAATAGTGATATTACCCTTCTATTTTTATGACAAAGTAATAGAAGGAGATTTAACTTTGCGAAGAGTTGCAATAATGTACGTTATTCCTAATTGATGAATGAGCTTTTACTATGCAAATGCTCATGGTTCATTCTGGGGGGAATGGTATGGTATTACAGTTAAAGCCTTAATGTACGTGCTTTTAACTGTTTATAATCTAAAACTGATATTCACCATTGATCTCAATATGATGCCAAAAGTTCTTAACATTCGATGCCTACACTTGCGTTCTAGATCTGGTGCATATAGAGCAGAAAATTAAAGTATGGAATAAAACTTTATTCTCATAATCAACAAACATGCTCTAGTATTGTGCTTAGTAAAAACAGTCTGACTAACCTTTGCAGGTGACAGAGCTAGTGAATGCGTAGGATTTGGCCTCGTTCTCCGCTATCAAATGATTTTTTTCAAAGGTCTGACTATACCTTACCGGTTACATAGGTCGTGAATGCGCAGGATTTTGCCTCGTTCTCCGCTACCAATCGATATCTTGCACTTCATTTCACAATCCGGAATAGTATACTGATAAGCCTTGATAGTTCAATCGATGCTCAATGCATCTTAAATATTTTGCATTGATGGGTCCTCTTCCTCAGATGGACAATATCCTTCAAAAAGCCTCTGAGAAGTTATTGTTTCGCTCACAACGCTTGAATAACACGCATTTCAGTTAACTTTAAAAGTTTGAGCAACCAAAGGTTATGGCGTTCCGAGACTTAACTGTCAGCTTTACATTACACAAAGTTGCTGACTTTACTGACCTAAAAAATGACTGGATCGAGCTTCTAATTTGACAAGAGTGTCGCAAACCGAGATATAAGCCCCAGAACAGCCCATGCTAGGAGAGGACCTTCACTGTCACCCTTTCCGATGGGTTTCAAACTTTGTTGCTTCAAGAGAATAGGACGCTCGATCCAATATATCAGTGTCTGACATGCACAAGCTAGAATCATGTGGAGGCACGTGAAAGATGGTCATCCTTCTTCGCTCTGCGTTAGAAGATCGTTCTATAACTTCATTCTTATATCAAACAATTTTTAACACTGATTGAAAATTGAAAGAAGAATGCCTTATGGAAGAATGGATTGCTCCATCCGTGTTTGTAAACCCAGGTAGAATGCTCTTAGTCAAAAAGCAAGCGCTATGTCCAAGAAACTTGAAATTCGGACTTATCCCTAGTCCATATTTGACTGGCATTTGATCCTTGCATAACAAAAAAGGGAGAGTTATGGCAATTCTTCAAAGAAGATAGTGGATAGTTGATATGAAGAAATCAGTACCGTATTGGCTGAGTGCATTTTTGAAAATATAAGAAGATATTTAGCCTGCCTAAGAAATAATTTGATCACACTTGTAGAATAATTATTCAGAAGTTGAATAAGGTAATGCTTCAGAGGTGGTAAGGATATATGTATCATAAAACGATAAGAAAACTTTATAAGTAGAGTTATCCACAAGAGTTAGCTAGAGATATGGAAAAATACTACGTCCTGCTCTTACATAATGATTGATTGCAAAGAAAGATAGGCTTCAAAGTTCTAGAGACAGATATCAAATTCTTAGTATGCTGGGTCTCTGGATTGGCCTGCATGATATCATGTAAGGTACAAACAGCAATTCAAAATTATTTCAATATCAAGATCAAAATTAACAGAGACATAATTCAGTAGTGTAGCTAAAGGCAAAAACTTGGATCAAAGGAACAAAAATACAATATATGGATTTTAAAAATTATTATTATCAATTATGAAAATCCGGAGATTGCTAAAAGTTTGACGGAGGAGTAAAGAAACTGTTTGAACTATTTACAACTTTATCATATTATTTTGTGATTTCGTTTCATTTTCGAAGGCAAAAATTATCTAGTATGAGACTGTCAATTAATTTGATAATAAATGTTGTGTTGTACGTGTTGTACGTCGAAAAAGAACAAAATTTAATGCAATGAAATAACAACTTCATACAAGAAATGTTCATTTTGTACGACGTTTCTAGCATAACTTTTCATTCGTACCAAATATTCATTTCTTGCACAAAGTCGTTATTTTATTGCATTAAATTTTGTCAACTAATTTGCCTGTATGAACGATGAAACGAATTACAAAAAAACTGCGAACGCTTCATGGCCAGACTTTGGCATTCAATAACTGCCTACGGAGTCTTTTGGCACGAAATATTGAGGAAATCAACCCTATCTACGCAGATCTTTAGATCTTCGTGTACAGAACACTGTCAATTTTATTTAGAGCTTCCCAAAAAATTTAAGGCTTTTTAGATATGAGTGACTTTCGCTAGCTTTTGCAATCAGACCAAAAGTCTTAATAGTAGCGTTTAAAAATTTCTAAACCAAGTTTTGTGATTTTTAAAGATATTTGCCTCAATTTAAATTTGTGTGGTTCATAGCGTAGAAGGAAAATGTTTTACATTCTTGCAACTTGAAAATGCACTTCCTTAACACAAAAAGATCTGGCCATGCATGGGAAAGTTATTTTGATTTTTGTTTCTTGCTACAATATCTCTTCAAAGTTTAAACATTATAAACTCATTATTACCCGGCTAGGCTATTTCCTGTGTTGCAAGGAGGTCCAAATGCATAAAAATTTTTCGAAGCTAAGTAAACCAATATACCAACACTGTTTTCACCACTCCTTCAGCACTAGACCTCGGTGTTCAATAGTTTATTCACAATTGACCTCGCAAATAGACGGGTTATTCTCTTTTGTAGAAATTCTATTCACCTTTCATCAACATAGCAACTGTTCTTGATTTGAAAAACCTGCATGGCAGTATTTACACAATTGAAAGAAGTAGCACACTAAAAATCCTAGTTCAAAGATATTTCGCTCATATGTTTAAGGCAACTTCAAATTTCTGAATGAAGTCCCGTAAGTTGTGAAGAGGTTGCTCAAAGAGGTTCGACAAACTTTAGTCCTAAGTCTTTCGGGAGAGACTAATTCCCTTGCTCTTGCTTAAATTTTACACTGTACTTCCTCCATTACCAAAACTTAAAGATTGTGTACTTACTTGTACATGATTCAACAGAGAGGGTCACACCTTATCGTTTGTATGAGATGAATGATAAAGTTACAGTACGAATAAAAGGGCTAGGCCAGGAAAACAGGGGATTCTCGTGAAAGTACTTTTCTTGCAAAAAGTGATTATAGCAGAGCTAATATTCTTGGTGAATGCTATGTCGTTAGGAACTTCTCGAAATTTGGATAAAGAAGCTAATGCTAGGATGATTGTGAATGCATTATAAACATACATAACTTGAACCTGGTCAGAGTTATTGAACGGTCAAATAAGGTCAATTGGTAACAGAGAACGAGACAAAATCATGCGCATTCACGAGCTCTGTCATCAGTTCTTGTTGTTTCTCGTTTTAGACATATTAAAGTCAGTAGCACTGATGGTAACGATTTTCCATGCCAAATGTTTATTAGCAGGTCATATAAAAAAGCTTGCGGATGAAACATTGACCCAGTTCTAATCCATTCCAAAGTCTATCGACTGTGTCGATTCTCAGCAAATTGAGATACAAATAATTACCTATATGAACTTTCCACACTTAAATGCTTATTTTTCCTTCCCAAATTATAAGTATTTATTTCAAAATGATACCTTCTTCTTGGTTCTTTGATGATAACGTAAAATTTTTTGAGCTTAAATTCTATATAAAGCCTTCATGGTCACTATTGATAAAACGACTTTTAAACAGCAAAATGTACCCAGATCATCTCCGAGTGTTGTTCTAAGAATACTTGACTATGTTCCAGTTATATTCATTGAAAATTTGTGACTACAGAGGCATTGGTAGAAATTTAAAGATAGCAGATATTTTCCCATTGATGATGAAACTCTCTCACAAATGTCACGAAGTTAAAGGCTTTATACAAAAAGAGGTAACTTATGCCAAAATGAGGGTCGCTTGTATCCAAGGACCCCATGTTGCTACTTCTGTAACAATAATGGAACTGTGACAGTAAACGGAGATTAATTGAATATTTTTTAACATTGTGACCAATATTGTGTTACTTTTACCATTATTATGAATATAATTAAAATAGCTTTAAGCGAGTTTGATTTTATGCATTTCACTCCCTCTCCCTTCCCGTCTCTACACACCCGTCTCTACACATACTCGCACTAGCCATACGTAAAAACAAATGTCTGACCTACACCGATGATTCGTCACTAAACGAAATTAATAAAAGTGAATTAAACTGACTGATTAATGTCTGAGACATTAAGACAACAACAATAGCTCAGCAAACAGGTAACGGATATTCTTAAGTAGGCAATACCTGAGGATTTCTTCATGGGAAGTGCTCAAAAGCGGGTTGAGCTGTGGGAAAGAATGGATTAGGCCGTCTCTTTTTCCCCATCAGCCGACGAGCAAGGGAACATTTCTTTAATACTACAAAATCTAAGCATTTCTTAAGCCAGACTGGAGAGAACAGGGTGGATGACCAAATTAAAGGATTTCGTAATCCCGGAGATTTTTCCACCCTATGTACTCCAATCATAAGATTGTTTCACCCCTTTTGCAGAAGAAAGTACCCTTCATTTTTGGTTACACCTCACTACAAAGTCTACTTAACAATAACGTTAAGCAATAAATGCTCTAAATTTC